TGAACTAGCTCTCCTTGAGGCAGTCACAGCTGGTAATAATGAAGCAGTAGAGTTTCTTCTTCAACTAGAAACTGTTAATATTAATCATACTAATGAAGAAGGCAGGACAGCACTAATGTTTGCTTGTAAAAGAGGACATGAGGACATTGTACACAGTTTACTGTCTGCTGGAGCTAATGTTAACATTCAGGACAATAAAGGATGGACTGCACTAATGATAGCAAGTAAATATAATCACATTTCAATCATTCACATGTTACTACAAGCTAATGCTAATCCTCACCTGAAGACATTAGATGAATCAGATGCTTTAATGATTGCTAGTTACTATGGTAACTATGAGGTTGTTGAGCTATTGATTAGTAAAGGAGTTGATTATAGTTATCAACGAGAAGATGGTTGGAATGCTTTTTTGATGGCTTGTCAAAATGGTCACACTCAAATAGTTAAACTATTACTGAAGGAACAAGTTGATTCTGATATTCAACTAAAAAACGCTTTAATCTTGTCTTGTTTATATGGATACACTCAAATAGTTGAATTGTTGTTTAAAAAACAATCTGATTCTAATGTTCAAAAGAAAAATGGAGTGATTGCTTTTATGGTGGCCTGTCAAAATGGCCACACTCAAATAGTTGAACTGTTGGTGAAGAAAGAAGTTGATCCTAATGTTCAAACAAAAGATGGAGTGACTGCTCTAATGTTAGCTTGTCTAACAGGTCACACTCAAACAGTTGAACTTTTGCTAAAGAAAGAAGCTGATCCTAATGTTCAAATGAAAAGAGGTTTTACTGCTTTAATGATTGCCAGTTTTAAAGGACATTATGAAGTAGTTAAATTATTGTTGGAATGGAAAGCTAATCCAAATGTTAAATCTAGTGAAGGCCACACTGCATCATCACTAGCCAAGACTATTGAAACAAAGACATTGCTTAATGACTATTTGGAAATTTAAAGTAAAATGCAATGAACAGTAGTCAGTGGACATGTAGCATTAAAACTAGTAGCATGAATTTTCTTCCTATTTAGTAATACTGGCAGAACTTGACTGATAAGAAGTGATGCTGAAGTAGATAGTTTATGAATTATTAGAGGCAAAAGAAGCAGATAATAACTATGATAATAATAATTTTTATAATTACATACATTTTATTTTTTGCTACTATTACAATAATACTTATTATACAAGTTTATTTGCAATTGTGGATACAGCATCCTCATGTTCGCTACAAATGGATGGTTCTGGTAGAGAGGAGGTCAACTAAGCAGATACAGGTTCTTTAGTCTAATCAGCAATAAGATAATGGAACAATAGTTAAGGCCATGTATGGCATGTACAAAGACTTCTGAGCCAAATTTAGTATAAATCATATATAGTCATGTATATATGAAGACATCAGTAGTTTGAATAAACCAGTAAGCTGAACAACCTTCACTAATCCTCCTTGTCACATTCACCTCTTATCTTCCCTTTATAATGTATCCCCCCAACTTGGCCCAAGTTCAAACAAGTGTGAACAAGATATTATTGTAACAAGCGGATTAGTGTAAAAATTATTACTATCCTTCCATTCCTGGTTTCTTTAACTGTACATGTATATAGATGTGACCCCTGTTTACTGTCTACATAATATAAAATAAAAGTTTTAATTAAGTAATATGCAATTATAGGGCAAATATTTGCGGTGCTAAATTTTCATTATTTTGGGGAAATATTAATTTTTGTGGTGTTTAGATTTCATGTAGTCATATGATAGTAAAAATTAATCACCCAAAAATTATGTATCCATACGGTAGTCAAGCATTTTGACCAAATTTAAGTCACAGCAAAGGAATTGCTTATAGGCACACATATTCCCTCTCCTATGATACCATTAGTGACTGGATAAAGGAATTAACTCTTTTAGCTGTGTTTGGTGGAACTTATAGTACAAGATGATTGATGTCTCTCAATGGAGAGCAAGTATTGGACTGTGGAACTACTGTCAAGCTGCCTCCAGTAGACCAGCTAATGGCCACCACTTTCACTCATTCAAAGCTGCAGTAGACAGCAAGTCAGGCAATAGATCTACTACATCAGGAGACAAGACATCTAAACTGCCAGCAGCTCTGTTTCTTCTTATTGTTTTCCTCCTCCTCCTCTTTCACTCTCTCTCTTTATTAAAACACACCTTAATGATTCCTCCAACAATTGCAACTTTGTACTTGTATATTTACTGATATTTTATTATTAGGTGAACTGTTGCTGAAGAAATGAGTTGATCCTAATGTTCAAAACAAAGATGGAGTGAATGCTTTTATGTTGGCTTGTCAAAATGGACACACTCAAATAGTTGAACTGTTGCTGAAGGATCAAGTTGATCCTAATGTTCAAAACAAAAGAGGTCATACAGCTTTAATGATTGCCAGTGCTAAAGGACATTATAAAGTATAGTTAAGTTATTATTAGAATGGAAAGCTGATCCAACTATTGTATCTACTAAAGGCCACACTGCATCATCAGTACCCAAAACTATTAAAACAAAATTGCTGATTAAAAATTACTTTAAAAAAAAGGAAATATTTAACTAACAGTATCCAGTGGATATCATTCAGTATCAGATAATAGTAGTATGAGAAATTTTCTTTCTAATTTAACTTTAGATTCAACATTAGACGACTTGACAGATAGAGCAACTACAGTAGATACAGTATATAAATATTTATTGTAGTGTAATAAGAGGCAAGAAGTATATATCATATGATTGTAATGATTTTTGTAATTATTATTTTTGTTGCTTAAATATTTTTTACAAATTTATTTGTGGGTATTCTTAGGTGCATTCCAACAGGATGGTTCTGGTAGAGTCAGCAAGCTACTATCGCACACCATCGATATTCGAACACTTTTACTCACAGTTCAATGATCAGAAGCCAGTGGCTATAATTTTATCTTGTAGATCAGATGTTCCTCTACAGCTGTAACAACTTTCATAGAGATCAGTCCTTGCTCTGTTTTTATAATAA